ACACAGCCAGTGTGACAAGCGCTGGGTGGATAACGGACGACCTACAGGTGTATCTCTATAATGTACAAACAAATGTTGAGTTTGGCGCATTACAGCCGTGCGCACTATGTAACACGTCAACGCCCGCACCGGACAGAGAAGATGGAAGATGCTTCTTCTTCTGATCTGTGGGGGGGGAGGAAAAACCCCTCCAACGATATCGCTCTTGATTTAAAAGAGCTCGTGATGTTTTTAGGCATAAAGGCTGGGTTTGGTCTTAAATCAGCTGAGCTGCCCATCTGCCTGAATTCTAAGACATGACGGAGCGACAGCGAGGGCAGATGAAACACTCACCCTCTTAGCGGATGTTAAAGCCAGCAGTTTTAAGAGACAAGAATTTAATTGCCACCTGATCCAGAGGCTCAAATGGAGCTTTGATCAGGGCTCGCAAGACCAGCGTTAAATCCCACTGTGGCACAAGTGGGCGTGAAACAGGACTGCGTCTCTGTACGCCTTTTAGAAACCGCTTCATCAGCGGGTGATTAAAAGCTGTTCGGTCTCTGAACCCTTCGTGGCAGGAAGAGATGGCTGCAGCGTACGTTTTAATCGTGCTGAAATGCCAACTTCCTGTCCATCAGCTGTGTAAAAAAGACAGCACGCCGCCTAATGGACATGAGGTGGCCTCTACACCTTTCTCTGTACACCAGCGCTGAAAAACTGTCCACTTTGATGTGTACAGCGCTGTGGTAGATGCAGCACGTGAATCCTGGATTGTGCGCACTACCGCCTGTGGGAGACCCATCCTCTCTAAGCGGAACCGTTCAGTGGCCGGACCCACAGGTGCTGGCCTATTTCTGGGTAACTCCTGATCGCTCCTCCTGCCTGGAGGAGAGCATCCTCCCTCCACGGCAGTTTCCACGGGCGCCCCGACAGCAGGCGTTGTAGGGCTGAGAACCATGGTGTGTTCACGCGCTCGGGGCCCACCAGGAGAGCTGTCAATCCCTCCTCCTGAACTCGGTTCAGGAACCGTAAAATCAGAGGAGGTGGAGGAAAACGCGTGCAGAAGCGTTTTGGACCATGGGCTGTGGGCAAATGCATCCACCCCCAGTGGTGGTTTGTCTCACGGTCTCAGGGAAAAACCATAGTTGACACTGAGCGTTCTCTCGTGCCGCAAACAGGTCCACAGCTGCTTTGCCAAATTTCTGTCACATCTAAGTCATCAGGTCTGGATAGAGAGTCCAGTCCCCGTGACGTGGGCTGCCCCTGGACATCACATCTGCCCCTTTGTTCAGAACACCGGGTATGTAAACTGCTCTGATGGAGAACAGATTTTGGTGAGCCCAAGACAGAGGCTTTCGCGCAATGTGTAACATCTGGGCTGAGCGCATACCCCCCTGTCGGTTTATGTACGCAGCAGTCACCTTGTTGTCTGTGTGAATCAACACATGTTGATTCTGTAGCGCGGGAGCAAAGTGCTGAATCACATCCAGCACCGTGCGACACTCCAAAACATTTATGTGGGCTGATGTGTGATGGGGCCACAGCGCCCCTACTGCTTGAGATAGGCATGTCCCCCCCAGCCTGACAGTAATGCGTCCGTGAAGACTGACACGTGACGTGGGTCTGCTGACGGGGGCTCCCTCCGACAGAACCAGGGTGTTTCCCCAGTGTCGGAGGTCTGTCCTCATGGAGGGAGGAAACAGTGATCATCCGTCTCTTTGTTTTACTGGATCCACACGCAGACGCACAAACCACCTCTGGCGGCGTCTCATGTGTAATAAACCCAGCGGGACCACTGTGTGAGCTGATGACATCTTTCCTAACAGCTTCATGACAGGGACAGCTGTTACCACTCTGCCAGGTCTTACGTGGTGGAGCTGGTCTCTTAAAGTGTCGATTCTCGTTTGTGATAAACGAGCCTTCATGGTTGTTGAATTTAACTCCACTCCCAGATAAACAATTGCCTGGGCCAGGAAACTCGAGCTTTTCTTCCAATTTATGGCGAAGCCCAGATTTGACAGGTGTGATGTCAACACCTGAGCCTGCATCACTGCTTCCTGTCTGGAGCGTGACAGCAGCAGCAGGTCGTCCAGGTAAAACAAAACTCTCATCTCTGCTCTGTGTAACGGATGCAGGGCTGTCTCCACACACTGAGAGCGTACGAGGCGCGAGGGAATACCCGACCGGCAGCCTGTTGTACTGATACTTCATCCCCTGAAAGGAGAAAAAAACGCAGGAATTTTCTGTGTTTTGGGATGATCGGAATGAGTTTCTCTGGATGTTGTTCAACAGCTGTCTGGTTGTCAACATGTGAAAACGGTCTGTCCATGATGGCCTTGTTGAAAGCTGACAGATCCTAAATCGGTCTCATCCCTCCGGTCCGTTTGGGAACCAGGAAGTAACGTGAGTAAAACCCTTTGTTTTCCTCTCCGTTGGGAACCCTGGAGATCACTTTTATCAGAAGCACTTGGACTTTTGCATTTAGGGATGAGATTTGGTCTGGTGATGACAGGACCGTCTCTATAACTCCTCCGAACGGAGGGGGTCGGGTTGCAAACTGTAACTTGTAACCATTTGCATAACACCTTGTCCATCCATCTGTCTGGCGAGCATGTTTTAGCCACTCTATGTAACGTTCGTGGAGTGAACGTACGTTTAAGTGATGCGTCATGTTTTGTACGGCTGTCACCAGTCCGCCCCTCAACCGCCGTCATGCGTCGCGGGAATGTTTTCCGCGTGACCCAGGGCGAGGCTTCCTCGAAAAAAGGCCCTGAACGCGCCCGTGCGCTGCGTTCGGACCGCGGACCAACCTTCATGTACAGGTGGGCCGTGTGTGCTGAGGCGAAGCGTGTGACAGCTGATGACGCCATGGGGCTGCGCGTTTGACGTCGCTGTGCGAACGTTGAGAGGCGGAGAGCGTGACTTCATCTACGCCGTGTTGTTGGAGTGAAGGCTGCGAGCCCCGCGGGAGCAAATGTTTTCTCTGGAGGGACGCTCGCCGCTCTCGCTGGAGGGACGCGCGCCGCTCTCGCTGGAGGCGAGACTCATCACCGGGTTCGTTCAGCTGTCTCACGCTTACGCTGCCGTGAGCTGCCGAGCGCTGAGACGCGGTGGGTGACGGCTGCCCGCGTTTGCTTCGGTGAGGCGTGTGTTGCTCTTGTGAGAGCGAGGACCTCCACCGGACCTGGCCTGCGGTCCCACATTTATACACATGTGAGCCGGTGAGCGCCGGGCAGCTGTATGTGCGCCATCATCAATGCAGTGCCGTTGGATGGAGGCTGTTGCATCGCACGAGTGCGCGTTTGACACCGCTTGGGTGAGGATCGTGCAGCTCGGGTTGACAACAAGTTATTTTCGCTTACCATTGTGTCGTGTGAGCGACTCGTCATGTCTTGGAGCGACAGTGAGTTTAAAAAAACCTTTATTTAAGGACACCAGCTCGTTATGTGTGGAGGATGTGTGCGCAGGTGCAGTGAGTTCATCCGAGCTTACAGACTGGCTAAAAACAGACACTTTGATCATTGAATGATGATTTATTTCAACTTTCGTGTCACTTTTACACACACCCTCCACAGACCGTCATTTTTTAAAACTTCTCCCCCGTGAGCTCTGCGATTTGTTTGCCCAGAGCGCTGTCTGCAGGCGATCTCTGGGGAAACGCTGAACTGCAGGTTGCCGGGATGAAGAGGGCTGGTCTCTGACGGGCGGGGCTGGTGGTGGAGCTGAGCGAGAGACGCCGCCGCGGCCGTGGAACATCGTTGTTCTGCCTCTGCTCACGACGGTCTCTCAAGCGGGCCGGGGGGCGGGATGAGCCGCGCGGCTTGATGAGGTGGCGCACAGCCTCTGGCACCTCCTCCGACTGCTTCGAGTTCGCCAGCATGGCTTGAAGCTGCTCCCGACCAGCGCGTCCGCCGTGACAGGGCCCTCCATCAGGTCTTTGTACAGTTTCTCCGGCAGCAAAGGGGAGTGACGGAGCTAGGTGGATGTTGAATCATCGTCATCCATGCTGCAATCCTGGACAGGCAAACCGTAGCAGAGGCACACATATTGAGGATGGCGTCGACTACCTTACAGAGGGAGCTCTTGGTCTCCTAAGGCAGGTCTGCGGCCTCCAGCCCCTTGGACATGCTATATGCTAGCAGCGCCACGTTGTTGTTAGCTGCGGCTGCCTGAAAAGCACATTGATGGGCTCGATTGGAGAGCGTGGTCACCGTCTGGTCGTGTTTCCCAGGAGGGACGGTACGCTGCTCCAACCTGGACAGCTTCACTCCGAAAGCTTCCGCGAGGCTTGGCTCAAGGGGGAGTTACCGAGGGATAGCCCCGCTCGGTGAACCCCTCCACTCTGGTGATGGGTGCGGACTGGAGGCCGGCTCCCCCAATCTACCAGGAAAGAACCGTCTGTGGCCTCGCCCGTAGGACGTCCTGTTGGAACACGAGGCCATATGGATCAAGATGGTGAGCCAGAGTGGAACCCAGTAAACAACCTTCCCGCCGGATTATCTGAACTGGCGGGAAAGGCGTGGGACGTAGAAAAAAGGGGTCCCTTCATGTCAGCCGCCTCCTGGGTTACACCTGGACAAAGCCATTTGCTGAATCTATGTGTGTGTGTGAGCGTTACCTCTTTGCCCAGTGGCATGCCACTGCCCAGAGCACAGGTGAGGCCGATGACTTTGGCCACAAACGTTTTAAAGGTGAGGTACTCCTTCAGCACCACTCCTCGAAGAATGGTCTTCATCTCTGGAATACCGGAGCCTGCAGATGAGAGGGAGACTAGTTTATAACTGTTGCAGTTAGCAGCATCCAGCCTTTAACAATGTTCAACAACAACTGGGATTCTCTATAACTACTGGTAAATATTCCTGCCCTTTAAACAATAGGATCCCAATATGTTCTCTTTCATAAGGCCTAACATTAAAACTAGTCACCTTTCATGCATGAGTTTTAGGCTACAACTGATTTTATGATCTTTTGATGAAAAATTATGGAGTTGTGGCTGTTGAAGTTACACCTTAAAAAGAACATTATGTACAATGTGAGCGACAATGAGCTCAATATCTGTAAAACTGACTGAGTTAAAGCCATTTCTGTCACCTAATGTCGATTAGAGGTGGCAGCCATCTTGAACTGGACTGGCTCCAAAAGTTATTCAGTTGTAGATGCACATGAAATAATTATTTCTGAAAACTAAATAAAAATCAGTACAATGGTTCATGGGATTTTGCTAACAGACCAAGATTTCTGTTGATAATCGCAAAACACTAAAACATGTTTCTCAATTAATTAGCACCTAAAACATGTACTAGCATCAGTCTCAGCTACTGCCACACCAAATCTTAGCTCATGTTGTAAGAAATTGACTGAATTGTAGAAATTTTTGTGAATTAAAAAGTCAGTTGACAGTTTTAGACACTTTTTTTTGTCTTCTTTCTGCTGTTCTCTTCTTCAGGGGGTGCAACAGTGAACTAACTCGCATGAAGACTTGGCAATTGTTTTTATGCCGGATGTCCTTCCTGCCACAGACTACTGAGATACCACAGCCCTCTGTGGGGAGCAGAGGGCTGTGGGCACTTGGGGGAGCAGATGCTGGGAGATAAGGGCCTTGCTCAAGGGAGTGGGGCAAATGAGGGTGGAGGCAGGTGTGTGTGCTTCACTTTTCACACCCACAATCCAATGTTGTCGGTCCGGGGAGTTGAACAAGTGACCTTTCGATCACAGGCCCACCTTCTCCAACCTCTGCGCCACCACTCCCCCTATTAATTGTAGCCACCTTGAATCTGAATAAATCCTAAAATGTATTAATTGTATATCTGTAGCCAATGATTATTATCCAAAATTCATTATAATTATTCTGGTGTTTAGTTAATGTTTTGGTAACAAACTCAAAAACAGTCACAGGTAAAACCATTATCATCCACTGCCAAACTAAGGACACTGAAAGATACAATGTTGATTGTTCTACGATGACCAGAACAAACTATGTAAATGAAGGTCACCTATAGTGAATGGGAAAAACTTTGTTACAACTTACAGCTATTAAAATGAAAGTTACCTTAAGAAAGAAAACTTATCTGACAATGTTTGGTTTACTGGCAAAATTGTTATTTGATGTCCTTGGATAAATTTTCATTGTTATGCTGACGATACACAGTTATATTTTGGATCTACTTAATTTGTCTTTAATGAATGATTATGTACCACAGCACTTTAAGGTTGCTGTAATTAAACCTTTACTTAAGTAGTCTGACCTTGATTCAGAAATTCTGGCCAACTATAGACCTATATCTAATCTAACTTTCATCTCAAAAATTCTAGAGAAAACAGTTGCAGGTCAGTTGCGTGAACGTCTACAAAGAAATAATCTGTTTGAAGAGTTTCAGTCAGGGTTTAGAGCTCATCATAGCACAGAAACAGCACTAGTAAAAGTCACTAATGATATTCTCATGGCCTCAGACAATGGACTAGTGTCTATACTGGTCCTGTTAGACCTCAGTGCTGCATTTGATATGGTTGATCACAATATTTTACTACAGAGGCTTGAATATTCAATTCAATTCAATTCAATTCAAAAATACTTGATTAATCCCAGAGGGAAATTAAATGTTGTTGTAACTCATCATCCTGGTTTCATTAAAGAGTTGTTATAGATGCTGATGGCTGTGGGCAGGAAGGATCTCTTGTCTGTCCTACAACGGATTTGAAGAAGCCTCTGACTGAAGACATTTTGTTGTTGATTGACAGTCTGATGAAGAGGATGCTGAGGGTTGTCTATAATGTTCTTCATTTTATGAAGAATCCTTCTTTGAACAATCATTTCCAAAGGTTCTAGAGGAGTCCCCAGAACTGAGCCAGCCTTCTTTATGAGCTTGTTGATCTTTTTTAAGTCACTTGCTCTGGTGCTGCTACCCCAGCAGATGATGGCAGAAGAGAAGGCACTCTCTACAACAGACTTATAGAAGATATGCAGCATCTTGCTGCAAACGTTGAAGGACTTCAGCTTCCTCAAGAAGTACAGTCTGCTCTGTCCCTTCTTGTAGATGGCTTCACTGTTGCATTTCCAGTCCAGTCTATTGTCCAGGTGAACTCCAAGGAATTTATACTTCTCCACCACCTCGACTTCTTCTCCCATGATGAAAATAGGGTTGGATCTGTTCCTGATTCTCCTGAAATCTACAATCATCTCCTTTGTTTTGTTCACATTCAAGATGAGATGATTGTTTCCACACCATGCCACAAAGCGGTCCACCAGTTCCCTGTACTCAGCTTCTTGTCCATCTCTGATACACCCGACTACTGCAGAGTCATCAGAATATTTCTGCAGATGACAGGAGTCTGTTTTGTACTGTAAATCCGAGGTGTACAGAGTGAAAAGGAACAGTGAAAGTACAGTCCCCTGTGGTGCTCCTGAGCTACTGACCACCTGGTTAGACACACAACCCTTCAGTCTCACAAACTGTGGTCTGTTTGCCAGGTGATTGTTGAGGCCTCCACCTGAGTCTTCTGGAGTTTCTGACAAAACAAATCAGGCTGGATTGTGTTAAATGCACTGGAGAAATCAAAGAACATGACTCTCACAGTGCTGTCTGCCTTTTCTAGATGACAGTGAGTTTGCTGAAGCAGGTGTATGATGGCATCTTCAACTCCAAGTCCACGCTTATAAGCAAACTGCAGTGGGTCCTGATATGTGCTTGTTTGTCTAGTCAGGTGGGTCAGCAGAAGTCTCTCTAGGACCTTCATGATGTGGGATGTCAGGGCAACAGGTCTATAGTCATTGAGGACTGATGGGTGCATTTTCTTTGGCACTGGAACAAGACAGGATGTTTTCCACAACACTGGAACCTTCTCCTGGGTCAGGCTAAGGTTGAAGAGATACTGCAGAACCCCACGGAGCTGCTCTGCACAGACCTTTAGGACTCTGGGACTGACACCATCTGGACCTGCAGCCTTATTCCGGTTCAGTCTCTCCAGCTGCTTTCTCACCTGACTTCTGGAGATGCAGAGGAGGGAGGCAAAGGAGGTATCAGCATCTTCTGATTTAGTTGAAGACCAATATGTAGAAGAAGGGTCCATGACTGAGGTGGTAGATACAATATTTAAGGTGTGACAGGACAGCCTTGGGTCAATGGAGGGTGGCATGTATGTTTGGCTGTGGGCAAGAGAGGAGGATGCTGAACTTGTTCCTGAACTGAACCTATTGAAGAATGTGTTCAGTTCATTGGCTCTGTCCAGGCTTCCATCCTTCTGATCCTCCTTCTGCTTGAAGCCTGTGATCTGTTTCATCCCCGACCACACCTCTCTGATATTGTTCTGTTGGAGTTTGCTCTCCAGCTTCTTCTTGTACACCTCCTTGCTGTTTCTTATCTTGACATGTAGTTGCTTCTGTGTGCTCTTCAATAATTCCCTGTCTCCCTCCCTCAAGGCTCTTTTTTTCTGGTTTAGCAGTTCCTTCAGGTCAGTGGTAATCCAGGGTTTGTTATTGGGGAAGCATCTCACTGTTCTGGTGGGGATGGTGTTGTTTACACAGAAGTTTATATAGTCGGTCACACACTCAGTCATGGCATTGATGTCCTCTCCAAGTGGCTGGCACAGTGCATCCCAGTCTGTAGCGTCAAAACAACCCTGCAGGGCTTCTTCAGCTTCCATTGACCATTTTCTCACTGTTCTCTTTATTACAGGTTGCCTCTGAACAAGGGGTTTATATTTTGAGCAGAGATACACAAGATTGTGATCTGATTTGCCAAGAGGGGGTCTTGATTTAGCGATGTATGAATCCTTGACATTTGCATAAAACAAGTCCAGCGTTTTGTTTTATCTGGTAGAGCAGCTGACAAACTGTTCTAATGTCGAAAGTGTAGCAGAGAGAGAGGCATGATTAAAATCCCCAGATATTGCAACAAACGCACTAGGGTGTTGTGTTTGCAGCTTAGCAACCTCGGAGCTGATGACATCACACGCAGTCTCAGCAACAGCATTGGGTTGAATGTAAACAGTTGCCAAAATAACAGTGGTGAACTCTCTTGGCAAATAATATGGACGACAACTTAGTGCTAACAGTTCAATATCTGGACTGCAGAGACGACACTTCACAGTAACATGTCCAGGATTACACCATCTGTTGTTCACAAGCACTGCAAACCCACCTCCTTTCCTTTTGCCACTCCTCTTTAAATCTCTATCTGCTCGTATGGTCAGAAAGCCTGGCAATGAAACGCTGGAGTCGGGGATATGATCCTGAAGCCATGTCTCAGTGAAACACATAATACTGCATTCCCGATACTCTGGATGGGTCCTTGTTAGGGCTTGAAGTTCATCCAACTTGTTTCCCAGCGATCTCACATTGCCCATCATGATCGATGGAAGAGATGGATTAAATTGCATTATTCTCTCTTTCTCCCTCTTCTTTGCTCCTGCTCTGCATCCACGACGCCTCCTTTTCAACTCATTTGGGATTTGAGGCTGTAGTTGAGATATTATTTGAGATTTGGAGATGTTAATCAGCTGCTCCCGGTTGTAAAAAACCTTGTTGTTATGGTTACGCATCATAACAAATGTCCAAAAGCAAAGATATTTCTGTAAAAATCCTTCCAGTTCCACAGCATCCGACACCAGAGGAAATAATCATCCGCATTATATTACATTATCTTAATATGGCATTTTTGTTCTTGTCTTTAGATTTCAGTCTTAAAATCAGAATTCAGTTGAATTCAGTTTATATAGCGCCAAGTCACAACAGAAGTCATCTCAGGGCACTGAACAGAAACATTCATATATAAAAGTAGAATTAACATTATTTATCTGAGGAGCAGACTGCTTTGAGTTTAACTCCATCACAGAACTCTCATATTGAGCAAGCATGAAGGCGACAGTGGAAAGGAAAAACTCCCTCATGAGGAAGAAACCTTTAGCAGAACCAGGCTCAGAACAAGTGACCATCTGCTCCGACCAGCTAGGTTTGAGAGGAACAGAAACACAATTGCAGGTCAAGAATCACATGTTAAGATAGAAGTAGTATCAAATGAAAACTATTCAGTATACTATTACTATATTATATTATTATATAATATAGTATAGTATATAATATTATATTATAGTATTATATTACTATTGAGTTCTAGAATTGTGCCGCTCAAGGTGGCTGCATGTTGGAGCAGCTCTGTTACTTTCATTCTGAGATTTTGCTTTTGGAAACTTTAATTCCTCTTTTTCTGGATGTAAATCACATTTTTTTGAATGATTGTTTCCTCTGGTATCGGATGCTGTGCAGCTGGAAGGATTTTTACTGAAACTTTTTTAGTTTTGGACATTTGTTATGATGCGTAACCATGGCAACAAGGCAGTTTTCTACAACCAACAGCTGATTAACATCTCAAATGCTCAAATAATATCTCAACTACAGCCCCAACTCTCAAATGAGTTGAAAAGGATGTTCTGTGGACGCATTCTCATCTACCTGCCATCTGTACTCGAGTGCCTGACCACTGAGATCCTGGAACTATCAGGAAACACGGCTCATGACAGCAGAAGGACAGGATCGCCCCTCGGCACCTACAGTTGGCTGTCCGCAGCGACGAGGAGCTCGGCAGACTGCTGGGAGGAGTGGCCATCGCTCTGGGAGGAGTTCTGCTCTGCATTCGGGCGGTCCTACAGCCCGGGGGAACCGAGAGGCCAGCTGAGTCTGGGTGGACGGATCAGACAGCATCCGCAGCCAGTTTCTTAGGATCCACTGTGGGATGGACCTTTTCAAGAGATCCTTCCTGTCTACAGCATCAGTATCTATAACATCTCTTAATGAAATGAGGATAAGTTACAACAATAAATAATTTCCCTTTGGGATTAATAAAGTATTTTTGAATTTTGAATTTTTTTTTCAATTTTAACAAATCATTTAAGGTAATGAGATCAATGTGTCCTCCAGTAGTCTAAGACTATAGCAGCATAAATGGTAAATGGACTGTACTTATATAGCACTTTTCTATCTGATCAAGACACTCAAAGCTCTTTACAACACAATCTGTGTCTGCATTTACCCATTCATACAGCACTCTACTAGATCTCTACAAAGCTAATTGAACAAATCATTCTAAAGAGACTAATCAGAGCTTTAGATCACATTCATACACCGATGGAGGAGGCAATGAGGGGTTCAGTGTTTTGCCCAAGGACACTTCAGCATGTGACTGCTGGTGGAATTGAACCCCCAACTTTTGCATTGGAGGACGACTGCTCTAACCACTCAGCCACAGCCTCCCCCAGCATAAAAAGCCAGCACTAACAATAGGATTTATCAAAAACGAAAGTCTTAAGCCCAGTCTTAAACTGGACAATGTGTCAGCCTCACGGACAGAAACTAGAAGTTGGTTCCAAAAGGGAGGAGCCTGATAACTGAAAGATCTTCCTCCCATTCTGCTTTTGGAAACTCTAGGAACCTCAAGTAACCCTGCAGTCTGAGAGCAAAGTGCTCTGTTAGCAAAATATGGAACAATAAGATCTGTAATAATGGAGCTAGGTTGTTGAGAGCTTTGTATGTTAGAAGTAAGATCCATCCATTTATTATCGTCTGCTTGTTCTGAAGATGGGTTGTGGTATAATGGATGGATAGTAGTAAGATTTTGAATTCTATTCTGGATTTGACAGGGAGCCAATGGAGAGAAGCTAAAACTGGAGAGCTATGATCTCTCCTACTAACTCCAGTTAAGACTCTGGCAGCAGCATTTTGGATCAACTGAAGGCGTTTTAAAGAAGTATTTGGACACCCAGATAACAAACCATTGCAATAGTCCAGTCTAGACATGACAAATGCATGGACCAGTTTTTCTGCATCATTTTTAGATAAGATGTTTCTAATCTTGGTGATATTACGCAGGTGGAAGAAGGCAGTTCTAGTAAAGTTTTTAATGTGGGGGATAAAAGACATGTTCTGATCAAAAATGACACCAATAATTTTAACATTAGAACTGGAGGCCAGATTAATGTCATCCAAGGAGGGAGAAAGACTGGGAAAAATCATTCCTAAGATGCTCAGGTCCAAAAACCAAAATCTCAGTTTTGTCTGTGTTCAACAGCGAAGATTAAGGGTCATCCAGGTTTTTATGTCTAAGACATGCTTTTAGTCTAAGTAGCTGATTTGATTCATTGAGTTTAATGGACAAATATAATTTGTGTCATCAGCATAACAATGAAAATTTATCCCATGCTGTTTAATAATGTTACCTAATGGAAGCATATATAAAGTGAAGAGTATTGGCCCAAGCACTGAGCCCTGAGGAACTCCATGACTAACTTTGGTGTATGAAGAAGATTTATTATTTACATTTATAAACTGGAATCTATCAGATAGATATGTTTTAAACCATTTTAGAGCTGTTCCTGTAATCCCAATATCATATCTAGAATCATATCAATATCATTTCTAGAATCGCGCCGCTCAAGGTGGCTGCATGTTGGAGTAGCTCTGTTACTTTCATTCTGAGATATTACTTTTAAAAACTTTAATTCCTCTTTTTTCTGGATATAAATCGCTTTTTTTGTCCTTCTCATTTTCTTTATCTTTGACCTAAGATGTTTTTAAAGTCTTTAAAATTATTCCTCTAGCATCTCTGTGTCTGAAGTATCCATCTACACTGCAGGAAGTGCCTCAGCCAAACATGGGGAATGATGAATTCTAAGGATATCTGTTGGGAAGAAAACAATTCTGATTCTCTGAAGGCACCATTTTCTTCAGCCTGAGTTAGCGACAGTCAAGTCAAACCGACAGTAAAGACGCATTAAAGCATTCAGAAAATATTCCATCTTCCACAGGAGCAGGGTAGCTTTCTGAAGAAGAACCGTTTTCCTTCATGTTTGGACTTTCTTAAAAAGAAAGTCAAAATACTCAAACATACATGGTAAAATACAAAACAGTGTGGCTGTAGCCCAAGAATGTATTTAAAACTAATGATCTATTGAACAAAATTCAATGTTTGGTGTTACCTTTCTGATGGGAAAAATGACTAACAAACTTCATCTAAAGTTAGAAAAATCCTAAATATGATTAAATATTTGCTTCTGCAAAAAAATTCTGTCCACTAACAAAACTGTCCACTAACAAAACTAATGAAGGAAACTCAGTAGTATTGGTGTGAACTGAAAACCTTTTGTTAAAGCCTCATTAGGAGGAGCCCAAATAAAAACTGAAAAAAATTGAAATAGACAAAATATTTTATTTGAGGGGTTAATTTTGTGCTCAATTTGCCATTAGGTGGACAAATCATTTCAAAGATGATCTGAGGCAACTTTTCTGTTCCCAACACTAACCCCACCTACCACCTTTGGTCATACCAGTTCAGTTAGAGGTAACTTTCCATCATTATGATGTTAAAGTTGCAGTGGTCAGTGTGGTTGTTGAGGCTTTAAGTACTTTTGGTAAACACTGCAACCTAATTCCAAAAAAGTAACCTACTCTACATTTCAGAGCCACATGGGAGGAACTGATAACAGGTCTACATCTATTGCAGTAAAAGCATAAACTTGTGTTTACTTGCGAACAAAGCAACAAGTAAATCCAACATGAATCTGTCTAAACCATCCAAAACATAAGAAATAACCAGAAGTAAAAACAAACAAAAAAAATCAATAAAACATTATCATTTCGAAGGAGCTGAAATATGATGAAAATTGTATCTTTTAAATACACACAAACTTTTGTGGATCAGCTCTGACTCCACTGATGATGTAGCTCTTTAAATGAATGGTCTTTGGGTAACTCCCCAACAGCTCTGATCTAGTTTTGTTAAACTGTGAATAATTTGCACACTAAATGGCAAATAGAACATTAAATAAATGTAAATAAATGTGTTCATTTTATAACAAAGTCAAAGCAAATCAACCATGACACCGTTTACAAACATCCACCACTGATATTCATTGTCTTTTATTAGTCAATCAGATAGCGAAGATGTTTTATCTCATATTTGTGTAACCTTAGAATTTCCTTTGCCTCAGTGTAATTTATTGTGACTCTAATACAAAGCTGAGAGTCTTCATTTGTGTTCACACTCAGGTTGCTGCACATTTGCAAGTCCTACCAACGGCCTGTGGGGCAAGGATCTGGGTGAAGCCAGCAGAAAAGGTGATGAGGACTACAGGGTAGGTGACCCAGGCCAGATACTGGAGGAACACATTGCTGTCAAGACCCCCGTACATCCACATTTGTGCTGTGGACACAAACACAAAGATGGGACAGACATGTAAGCCACAGTCAAACAAAGGCAGGAACAAACACACAGAGCTGAAAACTAAGTGTTGGCATTGTAGCAGTAGATTTGGTTTAACCCCTTAAAGTCCCTTTAACTGTATTGTGTCCCTTAGGGGGAAAAGAAATTGACCATCTTATTTACCAATTTCAAAATACCGGTACCATTTTAAATATTTTTTTCCACAATAAACTAGCCAATCTTTTAGAGCTATCTCAGCCAGAAATAAAATTATCAAATTTAAATGACTATTTAAAAAAAAAAATCTCATTAAAGGTCATTTGTTTAAAAAAATCCTAGTAATTTTTTTTTAATTGACAAAATATTTTCATGGCAATAAAAAGGCATTTTCCCCTATTAGTACAGTCTAAGTGATTTTTTAACTTTTCTTTTTTAATTTCCAGTTTTGTGAAGCCCCCACCAGCCCACCGGACCCTTCAGAGCCAGTACCTGAGAATGACACCTTGTTTTCAGTCAACTTTACGTGTCGTTTGGTGGATAAACATGGAAGACTTTTATTTTTATTTAATTTGGGGCCTAGATTGGGTAGAGGCAGGGCAGCTGACTCGGGACTCGAAAGTACCAGGTTCGATCCCCAGTCATTGCACATCTCGTGGTGTCTCTGAGCAGGACACCTTATTCTCAATTGCTCCCCTGGCGCCTTCAGTAGCTGCCCACTGCACCACCTGACTGTATCCCAGGTGTGATGGGTTAAAAGCAGATAGCCAATTTCACCATTGTATGGGAACATAAAATGACAACACACAACACATTATTATTATTATCATTATTATTATTATTATTATTATTATTATTATATAATGGGTGGATGGATAGATTTTTTATAATTTCTTTTGTTTATTGGGTTTTTTTTATTATGATTTTTTTGAAAGCTAAACCCTTCTTGTGCACAAGGCCAATTTCTGCTTCATGTTTTTGTTTTTACTGACCCCATTATACTACCAGCTGCTGCAGCCTGCTGCATCCAGAATTTACCTCCTGCTTTGAGAGATGCCAATGGGAGTCAATCTAAACTGTGGAGCATCCAGTTCAACAGTCTGCATGTGTGTGGAACTGATTTTTTATGCTAAACATTTACTTGTGCAATATGCAAATAGGTTTTTGCTCTTTACATCCAAACTAAAACAATTGTGTCAGATGAGAGGAGAGGTGGAACTCCGCAGCAAGTCCAGCCAGGAATGAAGCATCTTGTCCAGGGTGAGTGAAATATTCTCTGATAAAAATTTATAGTCTCTCAAATTTAAAAGTGGATCAATACCTAGTGTGCCAATATAAAAAAATAATAATAATCAAAAGCATGGGGATAAAGGTAAGAAAAACATTACTGAGGGGAATGCATTATTTTGTGATAATAAATATGATCAAAAAATGAATTTATTGTGGGTTTTCCCTGTGGTGATTTTTCCCCTGAGGAACACCAGTGATGTAACGTTACTGTGACATTACAGGGGCATTTGAAACAATTCAGACAAAATAAAAGAAAATTTGAAGGATTTTTAGAAGGCTTTGTCAGAAAGAAAATCATATTTATTGACTGCACCAAAATTAATTAAATATACACACAAAAAATATCTGTGAATGATTTTGGCCAATATGGTCTTTCAAGGTTTAATTCTATATCAGCAACAATGACTATTCAGTGCAACAAGGTGTATTAATTAGTTTATTTAAAACAAGAAATTAGACTAGAAAAATATAAAACATTTCAATATAGTATTTTGTATGAATTTGATGAAAAAAAAAAAAAAACAATCATGTGGTGAAATCTCACAAAAAAACATTTTCCATGCTGTTTTGACTGTTAAAAACACTGGTTTGTGGTACTCACAGCAGAACAGGAAAGTAAACAATGTTCAAAAAACCTATGCTAAAATAGTGACATAAGGGTTGGTTCTTGACCATGAAATAAAAACACATATGTAAAAAGCTAAGAGTGACCACCATGGCTTCTTTTATAAACTACTTGATTATGTCTAGCTTGAAAATAAATTGTGGTCTCCTATTGGCTACAAGGTTAATTTCATGCAGTATGTTATTATTACCTTAACAAAACGTTTTCACCGCAGGCTGCTTTCCTCAATCCTCACTGTAATATTTTACAAGCTCCTGTTATTATCACCACATAATTGTAATTTATATTAGTTTTGAACGGCCTTTGAGAGATTGTCATGTTAACTCAGAGTGAGTCGAACAATTATTTCCATCTGCATTAACTAATGTAGGTCAGCCTGTTCTCTCTTACCGACTTATCCAACAATAAAATGCCAAGCTTGAAATATTTTCCTAACTGAAGACGACTAGGGCTGGCAGACCTGAAATTGCTTCTCGTTAGATAGAAGATAATTTTGAAGTGTTCTTAAATGCTTGTCAAGCCTCAGCCTTTTTGATCTAAGACATAAAAGTTTTTTTTTTTTTTTGCTGCTTCTTATAAAACTCACGTCAACCTGTTAAAAGTTTATTTGTTGAGACATGCTGACAAAATGCCTTTCCTTCATTTCTCACCTTGTAGACAGATGGCGATACAGAAGTCTACCACCCAGCTCACAAGGGCCATGAGGAGTCCCAGCAGGATGAGGAAGATCCAGTCCTCTCCAACACGTGAGATGAGGAATTTCTGACAGCGAACCGTGCAGACTGCAGAGACAGCGTGAAGACAATCCAACATGTTAGCAGATCTACACTCAGCTAATATACAGCATGTTGTGATTCTGTCAAACCTTTGAAATACTCACAAGGAAATTATCATTCTTAAATACTGTACAATGTAATCTATCCCACACTTTGTATACATCAAGAATTACTGGTGATGAATAACTGTAGTCATGGACACAGCCCACTGAAACTGACTGACGTTTAACAGCATGGGCAAAACTTTGTTTTACATATCAGTAATTTCCTAGAGGTTCCAGTAAGAAACTTGTTATACTCACCATAGAAAAACAAAGCTCTTATAATGTTAGTTGGGAAGTTGGCAAGAGCCCGACCAATATATTGGTAGGGCTGATATTTTAGGCCAGTATAGATGTTTGGGGACCCATCGGTATTGGTGATAATTGTCTCATAATGCGACAATATAAAAACAAATGTTCACCCCTAAAATGCTGGAACTAGCCATAATTGTACAATGTATTCAACAGAGGGTGCATGAAGACTACTTTCAAGGCATGTTAATTTTCACTTTCACATTCAGCACAGACGAAGCAGGGATCAATACTGTGTAGTGTATTTTGCTGAACAAAGTATGGTAAGTTTATTTTAACTGATCTGTAAAATAAAATGAAAAAAAAAATTATCTTTAATCCTCCACCCCACTTGTCTTTAGCTACATGCTTCTCAAGTTAGCAAGCTAACGTTAGTGTTCAGTTGCACCATCTTCACGACGTTAGCCTCGTAAGTAGCAACGCAGACTGAGCTTCCAGTTTGGGAGGACATCCAGTGTTAGTAACGTCATCTTTGTCATCCTTAATGAAATGCATTGTTTGTCTGAAATATTTACTTTTCTGCAAAGAAAAAAAATGCTGCTGCTGCAGTCAATACTAATTAGACCTTCACCGTACCTGACTGACTGTTTAAACAATGAACATTTGAAAACATTTATTGAAACAATGAACAAGGGCAAGTGGTTTTGAACCAGTTTGACATGACTGTCGATGAAGGAGAGGGCCGACACCGGAGGAGGGGGCGTGCCAAAGAGACCATCTTAGCACCAACATAACTGGTTTGTTCCACTATGGAGTAAGCTGTTGGGAGAAGAATCAGTTTTGTGTTGTGTGTTTCCTTGACCGATGAAGCCTTCTGGATGGAAGGTGAAATGTTTCAGCACAAAAAAAAAAAGAAACTGTCCAGATGACCTGACTGACCCTTCGGTGAAGGGCCCACCTGCCACCAGTGCATTGGCGGCTCTCAGCATCTGGGGCTGGGTGGTGGGGCGTGTTGGCTGCCTGTCGGGGCCTGGGTGCCCTGGTTCTGTCGGGCCTCTGTTGGGGGGTGGTATGACCTCGTGGCTCGGTGTCCATGGTCGGATCTATTCTGGAGGGACGGGTTGATGGCGGGGCCTGTGGACTCGTCGCTGCAGCCTCCTGGGGTTTCTGCATTGTGGTTGCTGGGGATCGCCCGGGGCTTCCTTTTGCTTCTCGGGGTGCAGGTGTCCCTGTTGGGGGACTCCCGGAGCTCCGGGCTTGGGGACCGCTGTGTGGCTCCGGTCCCTGTGTTACCATCGTGCCCTGTGGGGACAGGTCTGTGGGTCCCCACATCCACTATTGAACATTTTTATGGAGAAACCTTATAGTGACAAGCATGCTCACACAGGTGTTTAGATTCAGGTGTTTATCAGATACACACTCAGTTGGGTTGTGGTGGCCACTAAATATATCATGTATTACCATGTACTGTATAAAATACTTTTTAATGATGTTATAAGTATCATTATATATGTTGTTTGTTGTGGTTTCTCGGTTTTGTCTTGTTTTTGTTTTGTTTTTTCTTTCCGCAGGTCTAGAGGCAGACTTCAATGATGTTGATTTGTGTTCTCTTTATACCCCTCTCTCCTCTACTCCTATCTCCTTCTTTCCCTTTTGAACCTTCTCTCACTTTTCTGCTTTGTTATCGTCTTTGTTTTTCATCCCCATGCCCAATACATCTGAAACAAACCCAAAGCAAATTCTAATAAAGTTTAATTTAAATATCACGTGGAGCATTAAGGCCAGCCATAATGCTCTCCTTGTGAAAGTAAATCTGTTGGGCATCACTTTAACACTCAGACAATAATTCTAAGTGTCACAATGCCGGGTTGGACTCGTCTGATATATGAAGGACAAGGGGAAAAAAAAAAATGACCTGAACGAAAATTGTTGGAATGAACAAGAGCATTTCTTTCTTTAATTTATATTTTTTGTAACACACTTGATTACTTTATGGTGAATAGTGGAGGATAGAAAATGTGAACACACGTTAGGAAGACTTTTTTTGACCAGTGTACCACTTGTAAACCTACTGTGAGACTACGTATAGCGTGGCTCTGATTAGCTTAGCTTCATGGTTGCTAACATCTGCACTAAATAAACAAGCCCCGCTCCACTCGATGTTTTCTTAGATTATTTGGGACAGACAAAGCTCAAAAAATTTCAGCCATTACATCAGTTACCAGCAGCCACCTGCGCAGTCCAACATCAGTATCGACAATAGCCAAAATTTCCATATCGGTCGGGCTCTAGCCTCTAAAATTTTGTGATTATTTGCACAGAACATCCATTAAACCTTAGTACTAATTCAAAGCTACAAGTGAGTTTATTTGAAGGATTCAAAAGCAGTTTAAAGAATAAAAGCAGTTATCAAGCATAATATGCTGGATAATTGCTTTTATGCTTTAATCTTCTTCACATATTATGTGAAAGATATTAAGATTAAAATACTATATTTAGAAAAAAGCTCTTGTTTGTGGCATTACTATGCATTATGGAAATAAAGCCTACAACACAGGAGGCTCAATACAAAATGAACAAGAGCCAACATGGATTGATGCAAATTAAAAATTTACTGTACATGTTAAAGCAAAACATGCAAACATACCAGTACGCATGGCACAATCAGATCTCTTGTACTTAATGATGAGCCACGGAAGCTAATTGATTGCAGCGCAGTGGATAAACTTGATGCGAGACGAACAAGCAATCACTAATTATGACTAAATGCTGAAACTGAACATTACTTTTGTGGTGACTCGTTGTGCCGACAGACATATGAACTTGTTACCTATTATTCACCGTCCTACATCCTCTCCAGAGCCATCCTCTCTTCTGCAGGGAAACAAAACTCAGGGGCCAAACTGACCCAAATTTGGTGAAGACTTATTTTTCCACTTTTGGCCTTTAATGATTTATTGTTACCCCACAAACATGTAAACAATAAGACAAGCACAGTTTTTGTTTATTCAAATTTCACTTTGAAACTTACTTAAATATAGTTACTATTCCAGCCTTATTTGAATTACTGTAGTTAAGTCCAGCTCAGCCGGCACACTGTTAGCTGCTAGCACTTCAGCCTTTAGCTGTGGAGCTGTGACAAAAAGCTACAGTCAGTTGAGATTAGATCCTGACCCATATGGAAAATTTGGCCATCATCAATAGCAATATTGGGCCACAGGGAGGCGACCACAGATAACTGATATAATGGCTGAAAATTGTTGAGATTTGTCCACCCCCAAGAATCTAAGAAAACAGCGAGTGGAGCAGGGCTTATTTAGTGCAGCTGTTAGCAACCATGAAGCTAAGCTAATCATAGCCATGCTATACATAGTCCCACAGTAGATTTACAAGTGGTAAATCTATATCTATCTATCTATCTATCTATCTATCTATCTATCTATCTATCTATCTATCTATCTATCTATCTATCTATCTATCTATCTATCTATC